TTATGCACAGTCAAAAACTACATCGTATCACTTCAGGGGAACGAACGGGAGATAACAAAAACTTGATCAATGAAAATGTCTGATAGAACATCCCCAGACATGGTGATTTACCATTCTTTTATAAGCAGTGATTAAGATTAGTGTGTGTATTTATGTCTCTTGTTGGTTACCAAGCCATTTTGAAATTGTTGGTAACAAAATGGCTGCTGTGACTTCTAAAGCAGCGCTCAGCACGTCTGTGACACCACTGCTTATCCCTAACAGTGATTATTAACCTGTGGTTAGAAGTTACAGCAGCTATATATTGAAAAGGAAATGGGACACTCAAGTATTTATGAAAAAATTACATCACTCTAAACCCAGGGATAGGGAACAACCACTTTGGTTGTCAGTCCAAATTTGAAGAGGTCACAATGTGAATGTGTCGTCTTGATCATATGAGTATTTATTGAAATGTGAGGATCCCTTGTGATGAAAGAATGAAAGTCATGTCATGTCATGTCATGTCATGTCATATCTGGATCTGGTTTTTGTACTGTATGACGGTATGTTTGTGGCCTATGGTTATAACTGGTCAATAATATCCCTTGATCGAGGCTTACGTGCCACTGGCAGAAGGACAATATACTTACACCACTCTAACCCCCGAGTAGCCCCACCATCAACAATATCACTTTATGATCATATAAAACTTATTTTCAAACATATACCAACTCTTCTAAATTTATCTATTACTTATATTTCTCTTAAAAAGCCAAAAATTACACGAGTGCTGACATTATCAAAACGATTTTTTTAAGAAGTTAGAGGATATTAGATATCCCTTATCAGAGAAAAAATCTGCACAGTCAAGCATAACATGTTTGACTGTGATTCTTTCATCACAAGTGATACAGAATGGAGGATCTTCAGCTGTAAATTAAGAGAGAGCTAAAACTTAGGGAAGGTTCATCAGCTTCTTCATCGAGACTATCAATGGGAGATGCCCTAAAGGCGCCAAAACATAGTCTCAGTCCTTGATGATGTATTTTGTCTATTTTTTCTATATTACTCTTGCAGGCTCCACCATAAACAATCGGGCCCTATTAGAATTTTGAGTGAATATGTGATGTGTATAAGTGGAGGAGGGCTGTCTGATCCCCTCCCCACTTTTAATTTGATTCGACTTTCAACAAGTCTAAAGTCTTTGGCATTTAGTCGTTAGATACCTAATATGCGGTCAAATGATCGTCAGAACAAGTCATGAAACTCTGGCCTCCTCTCAAACCTAAATAGATGTACCATCAAGAAACAAATCTTTGTCGGGTTTATAGCTTTGACAAAAATGTATACAATTTGTCGCGGATTTTAAAAATTTGAAACAATTTTCAAGATATCATGATTGAATTTTATTCAGACACAGCTGCAATTGTCCTTCAGTAGTACATATATTTTTGCTAAAACATTTAATGTTAAAATCTTCAACAAATGATGACTTAACAATTGAGTCATTTAAAACAGGTTCCAATTACCAAATTAATCTATTGTCTACCATACGTTCCATGGTTTTATAGACACACATAGTTAATGATATAGGTCGATAATTTGAAGGATCTGAATGGCCCTGCCAGGCTTTGGTATAGGGACCTGTGTAATTAGAAGTTGTTAGAAGTTCATTGCTTTGTATTTGGACAATAATTAGTTGTTAGGAATGTAGTATTTTTTAATGTAAGCAGTGGTGGGGAAGTTATAATATTTAGATTTTCAAATTATCTGTAAACGATCGAAATGGCTTGGGTAGATGTCAAGCGTAATAGAATATTCTGGAGTATGTGGCACTGGATTTGTCTCGCACTGTGTAGAAAGCTTGAAGCTAGTTAGACTATATGAGTGGAGCGGGCGCATGCCTGTGGCATCTGACATGTCATCTCACATTTCATCTCACATTTTATCTGACATTATTATAGACAAGCTTTCATGTGAAGATCACTGATACACCCAAGATTCCCAACCTCGGACCAAGTCGGAAGCTTGACCACTGTTATAGCGAAGTGATTTTCATTCTTGTCATTGTCATTTCCACTGCTCACATTTTATACTGCCATTGAATATTGTACCAACCCTATATTGCATACTGTCATTGTCGTTGCTGTGCAGTAATGTGCTTTGATTTGTAAACCTAATTAATTGTGTATTTCAATTGTTGATTGTGTACTATTTGTTTGTTGGTTTCATACCTAATTGTTTTAAGTTCAGATTTTTGTCTAATTGTCTAAATTTGATTAATATCAACATTTGTCTTCTCTTGCTGCTATTTATATATTTGAAAATTAGCTAGGTAATCAGATAATGAAGAATGTTTTGAAAAATACCAGGTTTCAATTTATTTTCACAATTTGCCTATGAAAATTTCCACGGCTCATCAGCTGGGTTTATGGCAATAAGAAAAGAAGGGAAATGGTCCCTTCCGGAAAGGTCATCGTGGAATGATCATGTTAATTCATCTACACAAACTAGGATCTGAAAGTGAAAGATCCAAAACAGACAGTAGGCAAGAAGTAGGCATTCCAATGTGCACCAACTGTACTCCCCTTCTTGATGATCTGTTTCATTGTGCATATGAATCGGAAGTTCTGGTCGGATCGCTAAAGTCAAAATTAGGTAATTTGGCCAAGAAGTTAAGCTTCAGATATATCAATGATCTGATATCATTCAATAACAGTCAAAAAACCAATTGCCTTCCAATAATTTACCCACCTGAACTAGAAATAAGGGAGACAAGTGAGACCGCTTCATCTGTTTCACATTTAAATCTATGCATAAAGATTCAGAGTAACAATAGACTCTCAACAAGACTGTATGACAAGAGGGATGACTTCAACTTTCCAATAGTCAACTTTCACTTCATGCAGCTCCAGCCTTTGGTGTTTACATTTCGCAACTGTTAAGATACAATCGCACATGCTCATTCTACCCAGATTTCAAAGAGTGGCATACGACTCTTGCTCAGAAGTTGTTTGATCACGGTTACAAAATTCAAGGCCTCCATAAAGGTTTCAAAAGTTTTATGGCAGACATGTGGTGGACATTTACAAACTTGACGCATCAGTGACAAAAGATGTCCGATGCAATTCCCTATTTTGACTTGTACCATGTTTCCCCACGTTTGTTTTAGATGCATTGACTTTACATTTCTTAATGACGTGTGCCACCGCAGGGCAGGATATGCTAACCTTTTCGAGAACACCTGATATCATAACTATTTGATAGTGATTCATAATCACATGCTATAGTCAGAATTGTACAATAGATTCTGCTTTATGCAGAGTTTTCTATTGGATATGGAAAGGGTTTGTGGCTTTATTTGCTCTGTTCACTCCATGAAAAGGACGTGAAATAAAAACAGTTGCTCAGTTGTAATGGCCGGGGAAATGCCTGAATGGGCAAAAAACAGGACCTTAAAGTAGGACAGATAATCCAGGAACAATACTAATTCCATTGAAAACTGGATTCACTCAAAACTGCGTCAGAAACTAGCGTTCAATCGACACGTTCACTGTACTACCGGGCATAGACGCCAACCCCAGTACCATTCCTCAGGATCATGGACTTGCCGCTGGGGCCAAAGAGATATACAACTTACTGCAAGACACTTTATCTCATTTGACTTATGTTTGAATGAATCGCGTCAAGGTTTGCATCGCTGTGACCTACAAGCCGTCGATGTGCTTGCGAAATGTGCCGGTTTTGCAGAGACAAACAAGACTTTATGTCTCCTAGACCAGGCTTCATAAACACATTAACATGATACTGTCAGAATCGTACAATCGACTCTGCCTTTAGTAGAAATGCCTTGTGGCTGTGGAAAGGGTTTGTTGCTTGTATTTACAACAGAAGTAAATGTAACCTCACCAATAACTGTTGGTAGAAGCATTAGACTTTCTTTTAAAGCCGCACTGCATACTGCATGGAAGTTTTCAAATGAAAATGATATTCAATGGAAAGTGCATTTAACTTTCTTACTGAGGTAGGCATGTGTAGTTATGTAGCTAGAGGTATAAGAGTTTCTTTTTCAAAGTTGTCTTACATTGGACATGTGTTTCTCAGACCAGAAATCGTGTGACTTCATTGGGTCAGTTGAGGTTGTGGTAGGCGCGTATTACAAGAAAATCGAAGGTCATTGAATGACACTGGAAATGAAATATTGCTCGACATGAAGAGAATGTTCACTACTCGAAAGTTGAAGTCTTGTGGAGAGTTTTCTGTCATTCCGAATCTTTTTGCATAGATCTAAATGTGACACTGATCTCGTTTATTCCCTCATCTCGTGAATGCAAGTATCGTTTTACACCCCTGTTAGCAATATTCCAGCAATATCACGGCGGGAAACACGTGGAATGGGCTAGACACATTGTACCTATGTGGAGAGTCAAACCCAGGGCGTCACAGGGGAATGCTGTAACCACTAGGCTACGACACCAACCCCTACTACAGGTTGTTAAATCAGGGAATTGACTATTTTACCAATACTGAATTATATCAGATCAGCGTTATACCTGAAGCTTAATTAAAACTACTTGGGCAAATTACCAATTGATAAAATCCCTTGATAAAGACCTACATATTGCAACAATTCTTTTTGTGACAAGTGTTCAAACCATGAAGTTGCAATATGAGCTTTAGATGACATTGGCAAAGGTAGTGGAAGTGCATGTATGTCAGGGAATGTGTATGATCCCTGAAAAGTTCCGGGCATTATACATATTTCCTGGCCCAACATGTTTTAGACATTTTCCCTCAAACTATTTTGGGGGACCATAAGGTTAAGACAAAGATTAGACAACGAACAAATTTATATGAATTCAGGTGAAGATTTATTTGGCATCCACTATTCAACAAAGCTGCCTTACATCAGACTCATCCATTGGTAAAACGTCAGTGTCATACTGACGCATTTGTCATATTTGTCTATACACTGCACATAGTACATATATATTACAAAAAACACTTTTAAGCAGTAGTTAATCATTTTTCCCCGACTCGCTCCTCTTCAAACGACGTTTGATTCTTTTGAAGATGTTGATACGATTTCTTTTAGGGAACAGAAAAGATTGGGTTTGAATGGCAATCTCTCTGAAAATGTCTGAAACGTTGGAACTGTCCTTGACTGACACCTCCATGTAGGTATGCTGCCAGCCTACATTCACCATGCATTCGGTTTTCTCACTTGACATAAAACGAGGAGTTGCGGGTATCAGGTCTGTCTTGTTGCCAACAACAATGATGGGAACACCAGCAGGCTTCTGTCGGACGATCATGTCTCTCAGATTAGCCACCGTCTCAAGGGATGCCTCAGCTGCGACTGAATACACTAGCACAAACGCATCAGCATTGGCGATGGCTAATTCTCTTAAATAAGAGAAGCAATAGCCTCCAGGAGTGTCAAAGATGTCCAGAACAACGGACTTTCCATTCACATCAATGTCTTCGGTGTAGCGTTCCTGCACCGTTGGCCAGTAAAGTCGAGGAAACGTGCCGTGCAGAAACTGGCTGATGATGGTTGTCTTACCTACAGCGGCTGCTCCCATGACAGCAATTCTGAACGTGTCTCCTCCAAACGTTGATGATGTGAAGGTGGAAGAAGCGGTGCCGGAAGTCAGGTAGGAATATGCCATCCTTCCTTGTTACGGATTCAGTTGTCCAGCAGCGAATGTTAAATGATCTCACAATCCCAAGTCTTTTATACAAAACGGCTATGTTTTTCACACCAACATTGACGTCAGAAACCAGTCCCATCCAGCCATTTCCAGTAAATTTTCCTTTGGGCAATTCATGGATAATGTTATCATGCCTCTGTGTTGATATTTTTCGATCATTGACATCTTAGACATGAGACGCTTTTTGTTTACTTTGAGAATTACTGAACGGTAATAACAATGTCAGAACTCAATTTAGTGGCAGAACAATATTCAATTGCACAGTAAAATACAGTAGCAGAGGTAATAGAGCAACAGTGGTCAAGCTTTAAAAAAAACCTAGGCTGGATATCCAGGATGAAAACAATGATCTTCACACAAATGCTGACCTTGGTGATGTATGATATGTAATGTGAAATCAGAGAAGCACGCCCTGGACCCCTTTTAACAATAAATTACACTGCATGAAATAGCGAGTGAACCGTATTCCACTAATATCACGGGATGACTCTTTAATGTAACAGGAAAGCCCGAAACGGACAAGACGGGTATGGTGCTGACAAACATGTATACATTGGGGTTGAACCAGGATCCGAAACAACGATCCACGGTTTCTGACGTGCCTAAGACGACTGGACCGTTTCTCCAGAGAGGAAAACAAAACCTTACCTACCCTATCTTTAGCCCTTCCCCTACCCTACCCCAAGCCCTTCCTCTACCTCTAGTCCTACCCTACCCCAAGCCCTTCCTCCACCTCTAGCCTTTCCCATTCCCCTACCTCTAGCCCAACCTCCAGCCCTTCCTCGACATCTAACCTTTCCCCTACCCCTACCTCCAGCCCTTCCCCCACCCCGAGTCTTTCCCCTACCCCTATCCCCAGCCCTTCCCCCACCCCTAGCCTTTCCCCTACCCCTACCCCTTCCTTAACCTCTAGCCTTACCCCTATCCCTACCTCCAACCCTTTCTCAGTCTCAAGCCTTTTCCCTTCACCTAGCTCTAGCCTTTCCCCTACCCCTACCCTAAGCCCTTCCTCCACCCCTAGCCTTTCCCCTACCCCAACCCCCAGCCCTTCCTTAACCTCTAGCCTTTCCCCTACCCCTACCTCTAGCCTTTCCCCTGCCCCTAACCTTTCCCCTACCACCAGCCCTTTCTCCACCTCTAGCCTTTCCCCAACCCCTACCTCTAGCCTTTCCCCTACCCCTACCTCCAGCCCTTTCTCACTCTCTAGGCTTTTCCCTTCCCCTACCTCTATCCTTTCCCCTACCCCTACTCCCAGCCCTTCCTTAACCTCCAGCACTTCCCCTACCTCCAGCCTTTCCCCTACCTCCAGCACTTCCCCTACCCGGGCCTTTCCCCTACCTGTAGCCTTTCCCTACCTCCAGCCTTTCTCCTTCCCCTACCTCCAGCCCTTTCTACATCTCTAGCTCTCCCGTTTCCATACCTCCAGCCTTTCCCCTACCCCTACCTCCAGCCCCTACCCCTACTCCTTACTCTACCTCTAGCCCTTCCCCCACCTCTACTCCTTACTCTACCTCTAGCCCTTCCCCACCTCTAGCCCTTCCCCCACCTCTAGCCCTTCCGCTACCTTTAGCCCTTCCCCTATCTCTAGCCTTACTCCGTCTCTAGCCCTTCCCCTACCTTTAGCCCTTCCCCCATCTCTAACCCTTACCCCACCTCTAGCCCTTCCCCCATCTCTAACCCTTACCCCACCTCTAGCCCTTCCCCAACATCCAGCCCTTCCCCCATCTCTAGCCTTTCCCCGTCTCTAACCCTTCCCCTATCTTTAGCCCTTCCCCACCTCGAGCCCTTCCCCTACGTTTAGCCCTTCCCCCATCTCTAACCCTTACCCCACCTCTAGCCCTTCCCCAACCTCCAGCCCTTCCCCCATCTCTACCTCCAGCCCTTACCCCACCTCTAGCCCTTCCCCCATCTCTAACCCTTACCCTACCTCTAGCCCTTCCCCCATCTCTAACCCTTACCCTACCTCTAGCCCTTCCCCAACCTCCAGCTTTTCCCCAATCCCTACCTACAGCTCTTCCCCCATCTCTAGCCCTTCCCCTACCTTTAGCCCTTCCACCATCTCTACCTCCAGCTCTTCCCCTACCTCTACTTCTACCTCTAGCCCCTCCCCACATTCTCACATGCTGACTGGTACAATGTGTGCAGCCCATTTCTGGTGTCCCCGACAGTGATATTGTTGGAATATTCTAAAAGCGGCGTAAAATCAAATGTTTATGTGGAATGTTGATCATGCCTGTCACCTTTGTAAAACTGTCAAACTTATCGCCATGGAAACGGGAGATGTGTAGGTGTAAATGAATGAGGATTCGCTGAGTCCTGTTTCACAACGGTGTAAGGATCTATACCGAAACGTCGCCGTTACAGTATTAAAGAAGATTTTTTCCATAAACATTGTCATCCGTCAACTTCTAAGTAATGCCTATCAAACAAAACACTTCACACTCTTGATACTTATTATGGGAGACTACTCTCTGCTTTCATTTCAAGATCATGCATCAACTGTTGTTCAATTCATGTTATTGTCTTCTTAGGAATTGTGCTGATAAATCTACACAATGTCAATCTCGCATTCTAACAATACGCTTCCTGACAAACACTTAAGTCTTTCTTTCTGTCAATCTCATTAAAACCAGATCTTTGTTCTCGCTATCGCTAAACAACGATGTGCATAGCTATACAGGTCACGTCATAAGGACCTTTCGCGAACTTTGGCAGATCAATGAAATACCTGACAAGAAGTCGATATTAGCCAGTTAGAAAGCAGATATCTTGAGCTGTAAGGCATTAGTTTCTAGCTGGCGACTTTCATTCCAGATTGCGCTCAGAAAAATCTGTATAATCATCTTTGATTCTGCCTCTGGAATAAGAATTAAACTTTTTATTTCTGCTGCTAATATTGAACTTTGTATATCACCTTTCCACTTGCTGTCTTATCAACCTTGGCAAATGGTAAAGCCATGGGTAGACCTGACATTGACTGAACTAAAGAAACAAGAAACAAATCAATTACAGTATCAACAATAATATGATCAGTTAAGAAGTACATATATTACATATCAATCAAAGTTTACAGATGGTTCCAAGGATTTTCAGCTGTTTGTATGACGTTTACCAGGGTGTACATCAATCATTGTTGTTTGAAACCTATGCGTCAGCTACCAAAACTCCAACAGTTTCAACATCAACATAAATAATTCAGTGCCCAAAAGATAGACATGGGTAAATTCTACACCGACTGCAGATCCAAATCCAGCTACACAGACTTCTGAATCTTGAAGTGAACTTCTGTAAAACCATCTCAATCAACCTTGAAATCAAGTTCACAGCATGATTCGGTACCAGCAGCACAATCTGGAAGAGAAAGAATTGTCATAACAAGATGTAAAACAGACTCTACTTTAGGGCAGAAAAACCAAACCAGAAGAACACCAAAAGGATCATTTAGGATCTCTTGAAGAGATGGATGTTTAAGAAACAATGCATCGTAGGACTACAAGTGTGTCGCTAAGCAACATTGGCAAGGCAGTTCAATGCTCCCTGGAGATGAATGATTCCCAAACATTGATTCATTGTAATTGGAGAGCATTGAAAACAATTATTGGTCCAAGAATGAAGACCAATTAGCATTATGTCTTCAAGAAACGTATTTAAAGCAAAAAGATAGAATTAACTTACGTCAATAGAGCTCTTACCATTGTTTTTCTCCTCGAGGTGATAGGGCAACTGGAGGCACTTCTAACTTCGTGAGGCAGAGAGTGACCCACAGCCCTGTCTCACTAAACGTCAACCTTCAAGCTGTACACTCTACATTACACGTGGCCTTTACACTGTGCTCTTTGTATGTTCCCCTTTCTTTTAATCTCCAGCAGTCATTGTATGACGGATACCTAAACCATCTATCATCATGGGCGACCTAAATGGTCACAACTCGCTCTGGTTTGGTAGACACACAAACACTAAGGAGAAAATCCTTGAGGGTGCTGACTTCAAATAATGATTCGTGTATTTCTAGTGATGATGCACACACTTATCTAGACCCTGCAAGTGATTCATACATTTTGCTGGATTTGTCCCTTACAGATTCCAGTTTGTTCAATGAATTTGAATGGTCAGTTTATGACGGCATGTGTGGAAGTGATCACTTTCCAACTAAACTTTCACCATTAAAGAAAATTGCTGATGAATGTATTCCTAAATCCCCTACAAATCCACACAGACGGAAACCATGTAATCAAACAAGAAAGTGTTTCTGCAAACACACCACAGTCCATCAAAGGCTAGAGCCAGTGCCATCTTCAAGCCAACTAAACGCCAGTCTCGGCAAACCTATGTATCTAAAATTAATTCAAAATCTCATATTAGTCCAGGCAAAATAAGCTTTCACTTGGAATAGAATTTATTTCACCACAATGCATTTCTACAAGATCTCGAAAACAACATACTAAAAGTCCCAAGCAATCCCAGTTTGGGAAATATGTCTAATTTGCATAATCCAATATGGCCACAAATTATCAATATATCTTCGATATTTCAGATGAGGTTCAATGTTTTGATGAAAAAAAGCATGTGTTGTATGTATAACTTCTCGTCACGATATGGCTAAAATACTGCCGATGTGACGTTAAAGTTAACTCACTCACTCACTCTTTCCATCTATATTGTTATGGTTAAGCGGTTTAAAGCAATGTTTCATTTGTAATGCTGAAGACTAGTGTTCGATTCCCCATAGGTGTACACAATTAGTGAAGCCCATCTTTACATTTGCGAAGTATGAAGTTTTACTTTTTCCTGGCAAGACCTGACTGACGTGCTGTAAAGGGATGAAAGGCAGTGACCAACATTAAACTCAAGTTCAAGATTAAATTATTTATTTTCTTGACGAGTTCAAAGTACAAATTAGTCACTGATATATATATATAGTCTAAGAGAGTCCGAAAGACAACTCATTTTTGTGACCG